AATGTCCTTGTACTTGTTTAATTTAGAATGTTTGTACTTTATTATGCCTTCAGATTAAATTACCATAATGGTTTATTCAATACCTAAACTAACATTCCAGGTTTACTTCCCCATTACACGCAAGTCCATTTAGATCACACAATTACACACCACATTGGGTAAACTCAGTATGTGTTGGTTTCCAATTTGCCTCAAACCTTATTACACTAACTAACATCGCACTTGGTTGATAGTAGTTAACACGATATTTTTTTATAGTGTTAATCTTAATTATGGTTAAATTTTCTATGTTAAGTGAATCTACGTGAGAGTCTAGGTAGAGAAGTGAGAGGTGAAGACGTGACTAAGGACGTGAACAAAACACATACTTCATATCCGAATCACCTGTGAACCCTCGAACCTTTTTGAGATTTTTCGAATGCATTAATTACCGTTCCTTAAATCGACAGCTGTTTCGAATCATTTTTGGTGGAAAGGGTTAAAAATATTATATTCAATTCATTTCTTAATCTTTAAGACCTGGAGATCCGAATCTTTAAATCATGAAATTTTTCGAATCATATATTTCAATAAACCAATCAGTTACAAGCATTAACTTATAGAATAAAAACAACGCCGCTAATTGGCGTTTGTTTGTGACGTCATAGTACAACAAGCCAATTATCACCCTGAACACCTCTCTTACGTCAGAAATATTGCCCATCAGTGTTAAATTTATAGAACAGTAGTACAAACATACAATACTCATTCATGACGTCATATAACTTAATGCATCAATAAACAACCCTCTTCACTGACGTCAAAACCAACTCACCTATCATGCATCCGCGTCGAATCCATAAAATACACTAAACCAATCAATACCATCTCTACTGAGACGTCAAATAATAATAATCAACCAATCAGTATTCGAGTTTTAATCTCATATACAAACACCAGCCAATAAAAAAAACAACAACCACCACGTCTCATCACTCAAGGAAAACACCACCACCATCAGCAGGTTCTCCCACCGCACCACTTATAATATAAATTCTCGTGTATGGACAAAAAAAAACATGATATGCAAATGAGATGGAAATATCACCCCTTCTTCCCATAGAGAGATGTATAAAAGGCAAATTAACCCGAACGTGAACCATTGTGTGTGGCGTGAGCAGGAGGGGAGGGAGGAAGGGAAGGATGGAGGAATGAGGTGACGACGAGGAACGGAGGAATGGAATGGGGAAGAGAAAGGGAGGGAGGCAGGGAGAGGAGGGAGGGAGGGGAATGGATGGAGAGGGTAATAGGGAAGGAGAGGAAGAAAGGAGAGAGGAGGAAAAGAAAGAAGGATTAGAGAGGAAAGGAAGGAACTAAAAGAAGCAGATGAGAGAAGAAGAAGGAAGAGAAAAAGAGAAACGGTAGAAAGAGAGAGAGAGAGAGAGAGAGAGAGAGAGAGAGAGAGAGAGAGAGAGAGAGAGAGAGAGAGAGAGTGTTGCAACACAATAGACGGGTAAGGTTGTTCGTGTCCTTAATCCATTAGGTAGTGAAGGGAATCACAAACCTTGTGTGTGTGTGTGTGTGTGTGTGTGTGTGTGTGTGTGTGTGTGTGTGGGTGTGTGTGTGTGTGTGTGTGTAATAAAATTAACGGTTTATTGAAGAGCTTAGCAGAAGGCTGAAAATATACAGTTATATTTGGGAATGGGTTACGAATTACAAATAATATACAAGTAACATAAGTGATACAAAAGACATATAATGACTAGATAGAAAACTCAAACTACAGTTCATTTCAACATAGTGACAGTGCAAGGAGTAGTGTTTACTGGGAGTGAATACCTGGTTTATTAAAGTTATTGATAATTTTACAATGGTTGGACTGGGCTGTTTTATAGCGATCTTCCTGCACGTGGGCTGGATGCGGTTGTGGTGTCGAACAGCATTCTCGGACAAGGATCTCAGGTGGTGTAGGAGCCGGTGTCGGGGATGGTAGAAGCTTACCAAATTTGCAGATGAGGTCGTGGTGATGGCTGTGAGAGTCGAAAGGGTCAGTGTGTTGAGCGCTTCTTGATATGTGGGAGTAGGAAGGAGAGAATAATCTTGCATGCCCTCTTTGCACTTTTTCTAGGTGTTTACGTTTGTGGCATTTAGAGGAAGACCGTGGGGAGGCATAGGTGAGCTTGGGAAGTATGAATGTTGTGTAAACACTGAGGAGCTCTGCAGGAACCTGAGGACTTGAGTCATGGAGGAGGTGGAGACGGAACTGGAGGTTTGACAACCTCACTGACTTGTGGTTTCCAATTTAGTTTGTTGTCTATGGTGACGCCGAGGGAGCTTCGTGGAATCTACAACCTGGAGTGTGTTCGGACCTAGAGTAATGGAAGGAGGTGGACAATGTCGGAGGAGAGGTTGATGCATAACTATGGTCTTGATGGTTGTTGATGTGTGTGTGTGTGTGTGTGTGTGTGTGTGTGTGTGTGTGTGTGTGTGTGTGTGTGTGTGTGTCCTCCTTCTGCTCCATTATATGCGACTTTGCCCTCTCAAACACTCTCCCTCTCACCCTCCAGATTTTTTCACCCTCTCTCCCACTCACCTACCTCTCACTTACCCCCTTTCTCCCTCCTTGTCTCACCTCTCTGCCCCTACCTCTTCTTTCCTCTCTCTCACCCTATTCCTTCCCCTTCAGTTTTATCCTCTCTCTCCACCTAATCGTTCCCAATTCTCTATTCTCTTCCCTTATCCTTCACACCTCCTACATCATATCTTTTATCTCTTCCCTAAATCCTTCGCTTGCAGGCGGCTCCTCGACTTCCTCTCTCTCCATACCGGCTAAATCTCCCCTCCCCCAAAACGCCGCGGTCCATGGTCTAAATTTTTACCCGGTTGCAGCATCACGGAGTTGAATAATTTATCTCAAGGGGCAAGAGTTAAGTTTTTTTTTTGTCCTATCTTTCATTTTGTGTCTTTATCTCTCTTTTCTCTCTTTTATCTCTCTTTTGTCTCTTTTTTCTCTTTCTCCATCTTCTCTTGTCTGTGTTTTATTTTCTCACTGTCTATCTTTCTCTTTCTACTCTCGTCTCTGTTTTTTTTCTTTCTTTCTCTGTCTCTTTTTCTTTCTCTATCTCTTAGTCTCTTTCGTCTCTCTATTTTCTCTCTTTATTCTTGTTTGTATGTATGTATGTATGTATGTATGTATGTATGTATGTATGTATGTATGTATGTATGTATGTATGTATGTATGTATGTATGTATGTATGTATTTTCTCCTCTATCCTTCTCCTCCCTCTCTATCTCTTTATCTCTCTCTCTCTTCTCTCCCCTTCATTATCCCAGCCCTTACACGAGACAGAATCATTCATTATACAATCTATCATTATTAACTATAGTCAACTCATTATCAACTCATCATTAACTCATAGTCAACTGATCTTCAACTCATAGTCAATTGATCGTCAATTTATAGTCAACTTATCGTTAACTTATCGTCAATTCATCGTCAACTTATCGTCAATTCATCGTCAACTTATCGTTAACTTATCGTCGACTCATCATCAACTCACAGTCAACTCATAGTCAACTTATCTTCAATTCATCGTCAACTTATCGTCAATTCATCGTCACCTTATCAACTCATCGTCAACTCTTGTACCGATAAATAATTAGTTTAGTTATTTAGAGAAGCGAATCAGATTTTACCTTATTCAATGTTGGATGATTAGAGAGAGAGAGAGAGAGAGAGAGAGAGAGAGAGAGAGAGAGAGAGTATAATCCTCTTGAATTATTAAAGATTGAATGTTTTTTTTTAATTTTTCTCTCTCTATTTCTCTCTGTTCCCCCACTCTCTTTCCTTTCTTTTCCTACTTCTCTATTATTCCATCTCTCGCCTTTTCTCCTCTCTCTCACTCACTCTTTTTCTTTACCACTTTTCCCTCTCTATTTCCCTCTCTCTCTCTCTCTCTCTTTTTGGCATCTCTCTCTCTCACCTATTTATCCCACCAGTAGCTTAGTTCCCTCTCCCCTGTGTGCTTTCCATCTTTATTTACTCCTTCTCTTTCATTCTCCTTTCTCTCTCTATCATTCTCTTCCTCCTTCTCCTCTCCTTCCTCTCTCTGCTATTCTTTTCCTCCTTCTCCTCGCCTTCTTCTTTGTTACTCTCCCTCTTACTCCTCTTTCTTTCTTTTTCCTTCTCCTTCGTCTTTGTTCTCCTCCCACTTCTTCCTCTTACTCCACCTCCTTCTTTTCCACCTCCCCCTCTTTCCTCCTCCTTCCTTCCTACTTCTTCCTCCTCTCCTTTTAATCACCTCCTTCTCCTCTCCCCCATACATTTAATTTTCACCTCGTATCAAATAAGTATTCCTTCTTCCTCCTTCTTCTCATTCTCCTCTTCCACCCATTTTCCCTTCTTCGTACTTTTAATCGTCGTTATGGTTCTCCCTTTTCCTCATCCTTTTCCTGTTCCTATTCACTTTATATTTTCCCCCTTCCTCCTCCTCTTCCTCCTCCTTCTCATCTTCCCCTAATTTGTTCCCCTCCGTCACCTTCCCTCCTTCCCCTAATTTTTCTTCCTCTCCTCCTCTTCCTCCTTCTCACCTTCCCCTAATTTGTTCTCCCCTCCTCCTTCTCCCCTATTTTTTCTCCCTTCCTCCTCCTCCTCTCACTCACTTTCTTCTCGTCTCTCCCACACACTCAGTTATCACCTCGTATCTGACACATTTTCCAATAACCGATAGTTTAGTCTTCTGGTCTAGTCACAATCCTCTACTTATCACCCCCTGATCCCCCCGACGCTCCTGCTACGCGTCTGGTACACGTCTCAAACATGTCTTTTCTTAAGTCTGCTGCGTATGGACTGTTGTGTAGTTTTTAGAAGCTTGTCAACACGGCCCGTCATCACTATTACTCCTAACACTACCACCACCACAATAACCAGTACTACTGTGTACACCACCACCATCACAACAACCACTATTAATATGTACAGTACATCACCACCACTATGTACAGTAGTACATTACCATTACCCACGTTTGAAGTACGTCTGCTCATAGCTTACAATGTCTCTATCGTGTATCTGGTGTACATCAGCTGTACTTACGAGGACGTCGCCTATATGTCGGCTGTAGGACTCCGCTCTACGTCTGCTATGCATGTGTCTCACTACAGAGTCTTCTGCTATATGTCTAGTCCTTATCTCCTACACGGCTGTTACGGGGCTGGCAGGGTCTACTATCGGACCTTACTACCGGTCAGAAACCGGTCTTGCTACTGGTCAGCTACCGGTCCCAGCTCGTTATCTCCTACTGGTGGTGAGGTAGCGTCCTCCAGCAGCTTCCGGCCTCCCGTTATCTCCGGCCTGGGTCCCCGGGAGGACGGGTCTATTACCTCACACATCTAAGTTATGTCCTTCCCGCTCCGTCCTGCGACAGTCAGTGTGGGGAAAATAAAATAGAGTAGTTCCCCCTTTATCTCAGCAATTTTGCATCTTTTTGGTCACTGTTTCGTGTAAAGATGTGAAATAAAAGATGAATTAGACGCAGAAAATCATATGTGTAAGAATGTCGTTTTGTTATATAGCGAGCTACTTAACATCTTTTTAAATCGAAGAGAAATATGATGTTGCAAATATGTGTGTGTGTGTGTGTGTGTGTGTGTGTGTGTGTGTGTGTGTGTGTGTGTGTGTACATAGGCTACAGGGTAGAGCAAAACTTACTTTGCAGTTATAAAGTGACTTGTTGCGTCTCCTTTTTTAACTGTAGCTGTATATAGTTAAATATATTTACTCATGTTGAAATTGAAGAACACTATAACATCAGGTTCAGTTCACATTTATGGTTAACATAAACTACTATTATTATGCGGTTATGCTTCAGTTTCCTTGTATGAACGTAAATGTGCATTTATGTAGTGACTTTTGCTTCACCCTGTACAATATATAAATTTTGAATAGTGTGGGAGCCAAATATTCTTTGACGGAGAGCAGAATGATGTGGAGGACAGGAAGAGGCCGTAAAGAGAGGAGCATAAGAGGCCAGTCACAAGATGTCGACCACCTACCTCAGCTAGGAGGCCAGTCACAAGATGTCGACCACCTACCTCAGCTAGGAGGCCAGTCACAAGATGTCGACCACCTACCTCAGCTAGGAGGCCAGTCACAAGATGTCGACCACCTACCTCAGCTAGGAGGCCAGTCACAAGATGTCGACCACCTACCTCAGCTAGGAGGCCAGTCACAAGATGTCGACCACCTACCTCAGCTCACGCCCACAACCACATAATACACTCACCGGCAACTGCACGCCACTGTTGCCACCCCACACATCACGGTCTTCTTACCTTACCGTACAATTTCCCCCAAGGTATAATTAAGGTTGTTGTTGTTGTTGTTGTTGTTGTTGTACCTGCTGCTGCTGTTGTTGTTATTGGTGTTCTTGTTGTTGCTGCTGCTGTTGTTTTTATTGTTGTTCTTGTTGTTGGTGGTGTAGGTGTGTGTGTGTGTGTATGTGGCGACCTGTGGTGTAATGGTTAACATGATCGCCTCGCAAGCGAGCGGACCAGGGTTCGATCCCCGGGGAGTGTAACTATAGGCAAGTGTCTTTACGCCATTTGCCTCTGTCTACCCAGCAGTAATTGGGAACCTGGATGTTAATCGATTTGCGGATCGAATTCCTGGGTAATGGTTAGCCAGTGCAGTTGGCGAGTTGCGCGGTCTTCTCTGACTATTCCTTAACACTGGGTCATGCAGCTCGTTAACTTCGGGTGTGGTTGTTGTGTTGGCGACAGCTTCTACACCTTAAACAAATTCACGTCTAGGTGGCCCTAGGGCCGGCCATCCTCATTACACAAGGGGCAACCATTGTGTGTGTGTGTGTGTGTGTATGTGCTCACCTTGAACCCCAGAATTAGCCTTTAAACAATTACCCCAAAAAACTCCAGGTGTACACGACGGGAAACGAACGCCAGTCTGTCGTACCATAGAAAAAACACCACCACTTTAAGTCTAAAAACGAGTGAGCGAACGTAAGTCTGGCGTAGCTGATATACGTGTTCTATCATGGTCGGGTTGTGAGGATTGCCACTAAAAGCAGAAGGCGGGTGAGTGTTCGTCTGTCGTAATCTCCAGATAAAAGAGACATTCACGGAAGACAAAACACAACACGTATAGAGACAAAGGAAACGTGATAACAGGTCAAAAGAAACACAAGTGAAGGTAACTGAGGAAAAATGATATACTACAAGGTTGAGGAGGAAATGAAATCAACAATAGAAAATGAAAGAAATGATGAAATATGAAAGAAAAATATTTATGAACCTCTGGACAATAATCTAAAAGGAAAATTATTGATAAAAGTAATGAACAAAGTAATAAATAAAGCCAAAAATTTTAAACGAAAGTCAAAACAGAGAGAAAGTATTAAGTGAGAGAGAGAGAGTTTTTAAAGAACGCAGTACATAGAGGAATAGAAAGTAATGGTGGATAATGATAAACATAAGTTAATATATTTCAACAAGAACATATAGAGAAAGTACAGTAGAATGAAATGAAAGAAATATTAAAAGAAAGTAAAAGAAAGTATGTAAATAAACTAGAAGAATGAAGACAGTACTGGTAGTTTATATTAAAAAAAATAAAAACATAAATAAAAAAAGTACATGACAGTTAAACAATAAAATTCAGAGAGAAAGCAAAAAGAAAGTATTAACATAAAACGGAGGAAGGTGTCCATGAGGAGTACTTGACATGGTAAAGTTTGGTATTGGAAAGTCAGGAGAAAGGAGGAAGGAAAATAATGGCAGGATAAATATTAGAATTGAGAGAGAGAGAGAGAGAGAAAAGAGAGAGAGAGAGAGAGAGAGACGAAAAGAAAAAGGAGATTAAAGTGAGAAAGAGAGGGAGAACAGTCAAAGTAAATACAGAGAGAGAGAGAGAGAGAGAGATTAGGAGGAAAATATAGAAAATAGACATATGGAAACAGGTTAAGAGAAGATAGAGAGAGAGAGGATAGGAGACAAGTAAAAAGAAAGAAAGGAGAGACACAAACAAGAGGAGAAGGAGAAGGAGGAGGCAGTAAAGACAAGAAAAGAGAGAGAGAGAGAGAGAGAGAGAGAGAGAGAGAGAGAGAGAGAGAGAGAGAAAGAGAGCCAAGAACAGACAACTCAGTGGGCCAACATGTAGTAAACTCAACTCCCAAACATAGAAAGACCCCCCTCCCTCCCTCCCCCCACCCCTCAGTGTTTACATGATATAATTGAAGACGTTTTCCAATGGCTCCCGAGAGTCTTCCAGGCGGTATAAGAGTCGTCGTAGAGACTTTATGCCTTGAGAGGGTGTGGGTGGGTGGGGAGGGAACGAGTTTGTGAGAGGTCTTTTGTTTTTTCGACGAATATACAAACACACGGAGAGAGAGAGAGAGAGAGAGGGAGAGGGGGTGGGGTGTATGATGAATTTGGGACTAGGTAAGTCTTTGCTCTGGAACGACAAAGACATACACAAAAGAGCAAAGACTTAGGAAGGATTTACAGAGTCTTGTGTGATTTTCTTATTGTTTTTTTCTTGGGATAGAAAATTCCACGAAACACAGAGGTAAAGACTGACTGTATGTGTGTGTGTGTGTGTGTGTGTGTGTGTGTGTGTGTGTGTGTGTGTGTGTGTGTGTGTGTGTGTGTGTGTGTGTGTGTGTGTGTGTGTGTGTGTGTGTGTGTGTGTGTGTATGTGTGTGTGTGTGTGTGTGTGTGTATTGTGTTTGTCTAATATAAATATAAGTTCTGTGTCCAGTTTGTTTTATTGTTTAATTTGCGTCTCTCTCTTTCTCCTCTCCCTTTGGTTCAACATCTTTCTCTTTTCCTATTTCTCTCTACACCTCTTTCAGTGTCTCTTCCTTTTTACTATTTATGCCTATGTATGTATCCTATGCAAAGTCTCACACACACACACACACACACACACACACACACACACACACACACACACACACACACACACACACACTTAAATAAATGATACCAGAGTATGAAAATAATGTTTTTCTTTTTCATTCTGAGAAAATCTCTCCATGCAGGTAAAATTAATTACATGAATATTTAATGAAGGAAGAATTAAGTTGGCTTTTCAGACACACCAAACCTGTGTTCCAGATGAAGAAACCAAGAATAGGAACTTCTGCCACGTACAGCTTAGAGAGAGAGAGAGAGAGAGAGAGAGAGAGAGAGAGAGAGAGAGAGAGAGAGAGAGAGAGAGAGAGAGAGAGAGAGAGAGAGAGAGAGAGAGAGAGCATTATAATGGCTACCACAAAAACAAAATAAACACAGCAAAACAGAAATCTAGCTGTACCAAAACAACAGCCAGGACAAACTTTTACACACACACACACACACACACACACACACACACACACACACAGCTCTGTCATGGTCTAAGGCCTGTTTACCTTCCCTTAGTAGGATTTACCATGCAAATCCTAAATCCTTCCTCCTTGCATTTCTATTAAGACGTCAATCTATCTTTTTTTTTACCCCTTCCCTCAGCGCCATGTTTAAGAGAGACTTCACCACCTCTCTTCCTCCTCCTCCTCCTTCTCCTCCTACTCCTTCTTCTCCTCCTACTCCTTCTTCTCCTACTACTCCGTCTTTTCCTCCTCATGGATACGTGGATCTGTTTAGGTCTATTTTCTGTCCTTATCTTTCAATGCAACATAAGATAGAAGTCTATATATATATATATATATATATATATATATATAACATATATATATATATATATATATATATATATAGATATATATTTTAGAACATATCTAAATCAAGCTCTAACCTAACCTAACCTAACCTAACCTAATCTAACCTAACTTAACTTAACCTGACCTAACCTACTGTATCCCCCTAATTGAACGCAAGTGTGATTATTTTACCCTTAACTTAACATAGAATTCCCCCTAACTTAACGTAACCTAACTTAACGTAACCCTACATTCAACCTAATCTAGCCTAACTTACCCCTAATTTAACATAACTTAACCTTATCTATTCGTAACTTAACCTAACTTAACCTAGACTAATCTACGACAAGTTAAAATGAAATAAGGTCATGGAAGTTTCGCCAGACGCATGTTCGCTTGTCTTTTTTTCCTTCGACAGTGACTGTTCTTTGAAGAT